ACGCTGTTTTCTGGATTTGACCGTACATCAGGTTTCAGTAAGAAATCCACACAAGTCTTTGTACATGAGGCCCCTGGTGTCCTGCTGAGGGATCAATGAGTTTTGATGACAAGCTGCCTTTAGAGGCTTGTTGTGAGGATCAGTGTGTCATCACTCACAACACACAGCATGTGTCTGTCCGTCATGTTGGAGTAATCTTAGTAATGTCACCAAAACAGATAATAGATAATAGACAATTATTAAACTTTTTTTTTTATCATTAGCACTGTTGAAGGCCTTGTCTGATGACCTTAAAGACCCTGATGTTTTGTAAAAGTATGTTGTCTTCCTCAGTGTCTGAGTGTTAGAAGTAAACAGTCATCAGGAGTTCCTCACAGCTGGGATTTTCTGTCTGTGTGTTCTCAGATCTGAAGAGAGAGGCCAGCATCTGCCACATGCTGAAGCACCCTCACATCGTGGAGCTGCTGGAGACCTACAGCTCAGACGGCATGCTCTACATGGTCTTTGAATTGTGAGTCTTCACCTGACATGAATCCCACCAGGTCACTTTAAAACCACACACAGGACAGGACGGGCTCAGGTGGAATGTYCTGCATGTGGGGGGTGACAAGTGGCTGATGTTGTGAAGTTTTCTACAGAATGTGAARATGAGTGAAGCGGACAGGAAAGGTAGTCACACAAAGTGTAATCAGCTCCTGTATGAAGGGCTGCAGTAAGAAACAATGTGTGGACAGATGTGCAGTTCTACATGTTTGAAGGGGAAAAGATCAGATTTCAGACAATCCCTGAGCTCCCAGGCCTACATGAGATCTTCACTTTCCCTCTTCTTCCACAAATAATTCCTTTATCATGTAATTCTGCTACGACTGAACAGGCAAACACACAAACTACACACATAGCTSTATCACATGTTTGTTGCAACAGCAGGAAACTGTGAAGGAAATGTAAGTGAGCTTCATTTATAGAGATTTGTCATGTTTTCAGAGGGTTTTGTGCACACTGTTTCCTCACACACTAACGCACACAGCAGCTGTTCTCAGAGCGCTGCAGCTGTCTGAGGCTGAACTACATCAGTGAGTTAATCCACACGATGTTCTTGTCTCTGCCAGGTTTCAGTCTAATCAGCAGCAGAGTGCAGACAACAGGCCATGCTGCAGCTTGAAGTGCCACAGAGGCTGAGCTGATGATGATGATGAAGAGTAGGCTGAGAGAAACTGGCAAACTAATTATGAGAGACAGTATGAAGAGTGTGACTGCTCCAATCTGCTGTTTGTGTGTYGTTTTCATCTCTAACAGCTTTATTGGTCACTTTGATGTGCACTGAGGAGCTGACAAACTCTGATTATTAGAGCTGTTCTCGTTAATGTGGATGACTCTGCAGGGACGTTTACATGCAACAATGTTAAGTCTCATTATTGCAGCAACAGCTTCCTGTCCTGAAAACAGTTCAGGCTGTGGAGCAACAAGTAGAGCTTTTTGTGTCTGAAAGGACAGAAATGAACTGTGACTTTAAACCTGCACTCACCAAGCTTTTCAAAATTAACTCCTTTTACACAAACATTCATTAAACATAATGACATAAAATAAAATTAATGTGTCRCATGTTAAAAACTCAGAAGTTCCTTTAACTTTATCACAGTATGTGTTATTTGGGAGAAAATTAAGCACCTTACATAACTGCTTAAAATACTATTTTTAATATTTTTTACACAATAAACAAGAAATGTCTCAGTTCAAAATAAATAAATCTAATTTAAATGGTAACGCTTTCTTTTACAGTACCCTTATTACCATGTAATTACGTGGTAATTAGGGTACAGTTTCACTATAATTGTCTGCAGTAATGTAGCACTTATCTGGTAATTTATTACAATTCACTATGTAACACCTAAATAAGTAGTAGGTAATTTGGACAGTTTTAAAGTTATATTTTATTGCAATTAACCACTAACCCCAAAATTTAGCTGCATTCTTTTGGTTATAAATATAGTGTAGATTTACTATTGAATACTAATTTGATGGTAGTTACCCAATAAAGGTAGTTTTACTAACAGTAATTTTTTTTTCTTTTGTACCCAATAAGGGTACCGTAAAAAAAGCGTTACCATTTAAATGCCATTTTTATTATTATTTTAACTCCTTAAGAACCTTTCATRAATTTAAAACCAAACTATATTATTTAGGTAAAACAAAAACAACAAAACATGAATTTAGACTAATTTTAGCTTTTAGTTTTTTGTTAGCTTATTTAAGCTTTTAGCAATGGTTTAGCTTGCTTGCTCTTSCTTGTTTTTGTTTGTATTTTTTTTGCTACATTTCTACAAAGTTTAATCTTTAGCTGCATTTTTGCTTATTTTAGCATTCAGCTACAGTTTTGCCATTTTAGCTTTTATACAGTTTAGCAGATTTTTGTTTTTAGTTACTGTTTATAGCTTAAGTTCTGCTTGTTTTATCTTTGACAGTTCAGTTTCAGATTCTTTAACAAATTTCAGCAAAAGCATTTAGCAGTGAGTGTTCATGCTGCATCTCTACAATTTATTTATTTTTTTACATAAAGATTGTGAAGTTCCTGGTTAAAGTACCCCAGGCTGCACTGATACTTCTTTTTTCTGCTGCTTCTATCAGCACTTCCATATAACCCTAGAACTCGATGTAAATATCCATCCATCCATCCATCCATCCATCCATCCATCCATCCATC